CACCCCCCCCCCCCCGCTCGGCAAGTCCTTGCCGTGCCCCTCCCAGCAACAAAAAACGCTGCCCCAACCCCGTCACCCACGCCACTACGCGAACGCCGGGGCTATGGCGGAACCGCGCCGCGTCGCCTCGAGGACAGCCTCAGCGGTTGAAGTGTAGTCCGCCGATACCACGCCGGCAGAGGCGCGTCGCTTGTGGCCGGCTGTTTGAGCAACAGCAAGCATCCCCCAGTGCAGGTTGGTGTGCGCGAGAGCCATCTTGATGCCCGCTCCCGTAGGGCCGGAGCACACCTGGAGCGCCCAGTGACAGCACAGGCGACGCGAAGGGATGGCGCAAAGGAGAATGGTGTTGTTGAATCACCGCCGTTGGGGTGGTCCAAATGAACGGAACGCCTTTCACAGGAAACAAAGATGCGCTGACACAACACGCAACTAAAAAGAAACCATGTGGAACACATCGCCAGCTTTGCCGTCATCTCCGGGAATTTTCTACTATGACATATATACTTGATCCATCCACCTGCCAACATCTCCCCAACTACTACTAGCTCTTTGTTCAACGCGCACTCGAGAGTGAGTGAACGTGCGTCGTATGCCCCCAACGCACCACTCGAATGCACCGGTTCGAAACCATCCCTTCTTCTGCCCGACGACCTCTCTAGCTTTTCATCCGACGGCGGGACACACCGCCCCCCTCTACAACTAACAACATGCTGTTGATTCCAACTCTGAAAAAGGCTCAGCGTAAGCCAAGGCGACGTAACGAATTCCAACCCACGAACCTACACCACAACGATCATTGCAAAAAAAAGTTAAACCCGCAGCTCGCAAACACGCAACACAATCGCGTGTGATCTCCCGCGTGGAGAGTGTTCTTCACCTGAACAGGCGTGAAGGCCGGGAGGAAAAACACCCCGCCCTCGCAAGCCTTGATCTCTCGATCGGTCTTGCTCTCGATCACGCGTCCCCCGTCCCCTCCCTCCAAGGCCACCATCACCACCGGCACGGGCATGGCCTCCAGCTCGTACCGCTCATTCGCAGGGACCTGGACAAAATTTCGCGTCGCACGAGACAACCATCGTCGTGTGATGTGAGGCATGTCTTGCAAGAGCGATATCGACGTCGAGGTACATGACAAGGACTAGGCGGACAAAGGCGTTGAAACCAGCTACCACCACGCGACCCGCCGATCGATTGGCCATGAAGACCCCCACACCATCCACGTGCATAAGACATCAGAATCGGACACCGTGTGTGTGTGTGTGTTTGTGTGCGACCAGAGAGCATGGCACCGACAAGGTTGTGCGGCGCGATCCGCTCCACAATCAAAGCTGCGTACAAGCGCACGCACCTGGAGGATCTGGATTTCGAAGTCGTTGATCGGCGGTGTGTAGCGCTTGCGACACGCGTCCACGGTTTCGGCGGGGAGCACCGCAGGAGCACCCATGTTGTACGTGAGCATCTCCACGAGAAGGTTAACGTCGCGGAACTTGGGCGTCAGGGCCGCTCGCACAACGTTGTTGGAGCACGCCATCACCTGCGTGCGGAGCAGCAGCAAAATCCTCCCGATATCAATGTGCCATTCGGAAAGCGTCTAAAACCACGAGGGGGGACTAGTTGAACACCCTTTTCCCACCGCGAGTAGCATTATGGATGTTACATGCAGGTGTCTGAAGCACAAACCAAGTGGATGAGAGTTCGTCATTGGTACTTGGGGGACAACTAAATGTTCCAAGTACTTGGTATCTCGCACGCAAGGCACGGTGGGTGAAGGACGTGAAGGACAACACGAAATAAAACGGCGCCATCCAAGCCAAGGTTAAGACTTCCGATCGTTGGCTGGCGACGAGTACATGGGGTTGGGTGGGAGGTGGAACGAGAGATAAGAAGCCACCAAACCAAGGCTCCTGGCGAGAATGAGTCAGCGCTCACACACACGACGGCCGCCACCGCATGTCCCTTTCCCACCAACTATTCCCGCGTTTCCTTCTCTCTCGTCAAGTCATCCGGGTTGCTTCTACACGAGCCAAAAAGGCATGCTGGCCAACTCTTTCGACGATTCTGCTCCGATAGGTCTGTTCTTCCCAGTGTCCAAACATGGGCAGAACCAACCGACTAGTAGGATAAGAGAGTGCACGGGGCGCGGGAATAGGTGGTGATGAGGAATGGTGTTGGTCGTGTGTGTGAGCGCTGCCTCTTTCCCCTCTTTCCCACAAATCGTGGTCTTTTGTGGCCTCGTGTCTCTTCTTTCACCATACTACACGACCCAACTTCTTCTCTTTTCGCCACGAGGCTTGGTTTTGTGGCCTCCTCTCGTCTCTACTTCCACACATGTTCCTCTTCTGACGGCTGACGATGCCGCACCTCAAGAATGTCACCGCGAAGGTAGGCGTGCGGCTCGTCCACGGTCATGAAGAACGCCAGGCCCGGCTTCAGCTGCAGCAGGTTGAGCATGAGCGGCATGAGGATGCCGAGGTCGCCCGGATACTCCTTCGATAGCCTTAGCATCACGCGCTGCGAGTCCGCGTCCTGTTGTACAGCAACGTGGCACGCATGCACGCAAAACGCGTCGGTTCCACCGGCACGGAAGAAGAGTGAGAAACCAACCCAACGCATGAATACGGATGCGTGGAGACAACAAGCACTGGGATAACACCACGATCGTCTACACACATACCAACACAGGATGACTTTGACTGCCCACGTTCGATGGTCTACAAACGGAACCAGAAAGACAAAAGCGGCTGTAGATGTGAATAGAGTAGGGGCCAATGCGAACCAACGGACACAGACAGCAACCGAAACATTCGAGTACGGCACACGAGCTGGGCAACAGGACACTGATAAAAGCGGGAGGGGGCAACGTGCCATCATTGTTCTTGGGGGGGGGGGGGTACTCATAGTCGTGCATGCCGTAGTCGTGAGACCATTGACCTCGCATCCCTACAAAGCCGGGACGGAGCACGCCGGTTCTCACCGGACCTAGGCTCTTACATCACCAAGCGCGAAGCGCCGTGAGATATTCGGCGAGTCGCATGAAGGGTGCGCTGCATCCTGCTAAGGGTGTTCGGCATCTTGTGCTTACTTCCTTGCGTACGGATGACAGCTGCGTATGAATTAATTTATTTTCTGGTGCTTTCACTTCCAGAGACAGTTGTAAGCACTGTGTAACTGCCTCGAGGGTGCTTGACCATATTGACACGACGTGGTGCGATCATCCCCCTTGTGCGGAGTGAGGTTCTCCACCCCGCACAACATGATCTACTCGACCACCATTCATGGTTACCGCCAACAAAAAAAAAACGGTAACCTGGTTGCCGAGTTCACGAAGTGAATTAGCTTGTTTTACAACGTCGTTGCCAAGCGACGAAAACCCAACCCAGATGGCAAACACCGGGGGGGGGGGGGTTCTTGGGGGGGAGGGTAACACCTTCATCAGTCTCACATTGATTGGATACATGACAATCTGCGGGAAAAAAACATGGGCTTCCATCCCAAGAACGTTTACCGGACACCGCCCGCGGACTCGTGTATCTACTGACAAAACCGGTGTCCCCAAATTCCGGCAAACACGGCGGTAGCACACTATAAGTTTATCCCACGACCTAACTACCGCGCACATAACCACCACCAGCTCTTTCCCGAAGATCATGACACTGTTCTAAAGCTCACCTCTCGCTGGAGCCGCGCCATGAGCCCGGCCGCCGCCTTGGGCCCCCCCCTGAAAGCTTTCCCGAAGATCTCCTCCGACTTATCCACGTCCGCGAGCACGTCCTCCGCGCGCTTTCTCTCCTCGGCTCCGGGAGGGGACGAAACGCTGGCATCGCAATCGGCTCCGTCCCTGGAGGGGCTTCCCACCGAAAAAGACGGCACGGTGCCCAGGGTAGGCGGAGGGGACGGGGCCTCGCCCTGCTCCCCCCCCTTGAAGACGTAGCCTCCCAGGTGCATGGAAGGGTTCTTGTTGAGCATCTTCTGCTCGTCGGGGTCGGCACCACCCTTGTCTTGTCCAGCGGCGGTTTTGGCCGCGAGGACTTCGCGCAGCGGCTCGGGCGCCTGGTCTACCTTGAGGCCGTTCATGGAGGCGGAGACGTCGTCCGGGGTCGCCTCGGCGGGGAAGTTTTTCTCGAGCCGGCTGACTAGGGCGGCCACCTAATGTCAAGGGGATTACGCAGCCAGGGGTGGGAGATGGGAGGGGGGAGGGGGTGCAGGGTCAAAACAAACTACACACAGAGGGCGGCCACCTAATGTCAAAGAAGTTATAGCATGGATACACAGCCAGGGTGGGGGCGGGGCAAGAAGGGGCCAAACAAACTGCACACTAGCTTGGAGCATCAGGGGTCAGCCAGGGGAACGAGAAAAGCACGAGGAGAACTGCTGATATTGCGCGCCAGGCAAGAGACACGAGCACAGCTGACTCGAACCGCTCGCGTGTTGCAAGGGTCGCGGGCAAACAACAGCAGGGGACAAAACATCACAAGACAAGGTGTTAAGTGCCGCGCTTCACGAGGTCCAGAGATATACTGCTTCGTCCCCGACGACCGAAACACAGCTCAAGAATGCCGTCACACGAGAGCGCCGAATTCAACACGGAACTTGAGGTGTACGTTGTGCGCATCGGCTGTACATGTAAGGCACTGCTGTGGCAATAACACGTGTCAGTATTCTGCAAGCAATATCCGTTCCTTCCAAGCGAAGCTATATAACACCGACTTCTGTCAGTGATTGCGACATGACTGCTGTAACCCTTCCTTCGCCTAAAAGTCGCTCAATGACTGAGCGGCGACTGCGACTTAACACTTCGTCCGTAGATCGCTTACACCTCTGAGCGGTCTATGCGTATCACCTAGTATAATCGAATCGCTCACAGCACGACTTCGTAACATGTTTCAAAGATTTTGACGACAAGTGCTTTGAACGTTTTCGTAAACGACGCTTGCCGCCCGGGCAAAAAAAAAAAAATCCTTAACCCGGTCGCTACGATCGCGGTGTGGTACAAGAGCAGACCAGTCACCAAATCAAACCACAAGAGAAACGAAGCAAGCAAGCAGGCAAGCATCATCCAAAAGACGCCAGCCAGCGCATTCTTGCTTTTCAACAAAACGCAAGATATTACCTGTGTGCGGACCACGTTCTTGTCGCACTTGACGAAAGACCCGAAGAGCTTCTTGACCGCCGACCGCTGCCTTTCGACGTCGTCCCCGGCCTTGCACACCGCCTTCAACGCACCGTACGAAACCATGCTGCGCAGCTCTGGACACACGTAACGGGGGGACGGGGACGGGGGTAAATTTAGACAGGGTAGTCAAGGGCACATGCACGGAGTGAGAGGGAACACGACCCAATGGGAACATCGGTGTGTCCCATCAGGGTGGTTATGATTCTTCAGGTCAGTGATGCTTCATGTCGAGGGTTCGGTTGGGGCTGAGAACCATGGATGGGTCACACGCCGCGGAAGAACGAAGAAGGCCAGAACTATACTTCTATTTAGCCAGCTGCAAGGGGGCAGCCATTGTTTTCTACTGATACTGATATGATACCCCACGGTCGCCTACACAGAAACACATAAAACAAACATATCACAGCGTGAAGAAAGCCACTATTTACACGTTCCGAACGACGGTACTACTTTGTAACGTCGTCGTAACATAGCGGTAGGGCAGTGAAACATCAACAGAACAGCCCGACCCCGGAACCTACCGGGGTAGGCGTGCAGGTTCCAGACGATTTCGTAGAACGGTCTGAATCCGCAGAGCCCCTCGAAGTCCGAGAGAGTCACTGCCATCTCGGGCTTGTGATTGTCGTCCTTGTACACGTCGGGTCTCTCGGCGTGCAGCCTTTCCGCCAAGCGCTGCGTACGCATACGACCATGCAATGAAACACAAATGGATTTAAATTTTCGTTGTCTAGTACGTAAGCAAAAACAGAGATACGATTGCAACAAAAAGAAGGAAAACAAGTTCCCACGAAGAGGTTTGAGAACCATCCAAAAAACTCGAAAACAATGCTTCCTTTCTGCTTTTACGCACGACCGCCTTCGTTCCCGTCATCCACGCCTGCAGTCCGCTCCCAAAATGTATGTGATTGCGATAAGGACGTTATCATAGAGATCCGAGCCTCTCTCGGAGTTACGTTCCGATGGCTCCCATATCTGTGTGGGTGTCCTGCAATTCCTCAAGGTGTGTGCAATGCCTTTGGCCTTTACTAGCAAGGAAAACGCGTTAAGCTCTTGTACCGCAGCGGAGCAGTACAGCATGTGCTGATACAACAGCAGCTGGCCGTAACTGCAGCAAAAAGAACCACGGGCAACGTCAGCAGCAGCAGAAAACACCAAACCCAACTCGATGCAGCAATCAATCAACACATACCTTATCGGGGTGCGCCTGGATGCTGAGAGCCTTGCTGATGGAGATAACCTTGAACAAAAAGGGGAGGTCTCCCTTCCACCGGATTGCTCCCAGTACATGCGGGTTGTCGTCCAGAATTTCCTGCCATCAGAAAAAAAAGAAAAGAGGGGGGGGCGTACGCTTATGTTTTGCATGCCTCAGCGGTTAGACCATTGACCACGCGTCCTCCGGAGGACGGCGTAGTGTTCCCACAGGGCCAATCACCGATGGCCAATCGTTCCTTCCTACTTTGCCAAAGGTGGCTTAAAAATGTTTTCCCGTGCCAATCTATCCTACATATCGGCGAGGGGGGCTTCAGCAGGTACAGATATTTTGTCGATGGGTGGGAACAGGTCGCCCTTGCACCAGCCAAATTCGAGGTGGGGGGGGACGCGAGCCGGGAACAGGGGGCGAGGGGTGGGGGTCTTGCGGAGTTCAACTTCAGATGTTCAGAAGCAAACCTTTGTGTCCATGGAGAGAGATCGCGTCGCCTTGTTTCTGTACCAGCTTGACAGCCAAGATGGAAAGTGCGGGCGCACGCACGTGTGTGCTATCGATCGATCTAGATTCTAGAGCTATGCATAGATTGCTCCAAAAGCGACGAGGGTAAGAGGGTGCAACGTCCTACAGTGCCGACACGCGCAAGGAAGGAAACACCTTCGAAAAGGATCGTTCCACAACCGCGCTGCTCGGCGGCATTAGCAGCCTCGTGGCTGTGGAGCAGGCAAGCTCGAAAAAACTCAAAGGCACACCCCAGTGCCTTCGCCTCTTGAGCTCACGGTACTGCTCTACCGCACTTTTACGTCGTGCATTCGCGATGGCAGTAAAGCTCGGCTGACGTGCCTATCAATACTTCTGGACCGACCGAATGACCAAAGAAGCAACAACCCCAACTTTCTTCCCTCAACGCTGCGGTGGCACCTCCCCCCCCTCCCTCTCTCCAACTCACCTTGAGCAGAGGCCCCGGACTTCCGTCTCTCACAACGCGGCTGGGCCCGCTGGGATGAGTCCCGATCCACATCTCGGCGTAATTTTCCTCCGGCTTGACCGTGTACTCCGCGTCTCCGAGGCCTTTGAGCTTGGCCACCACGCTGTCGGAGCCTTTCTTGCCCCAGGCATATTGCTGTCCAAAACCAAATTCGCGAAACATGTGTGTAGATACCAGAGTGTAGCGGGAAAATAGCGTTCAATTGTGAAAGAGGGAATCAACAGTCCTCCACAAACGCCCTTTGGGGAGATCTGAGGCTAGGCCATGTTCACATTGTATGAGCCGTTATCTTGTCTTGATAGACACAGGAAGGAAGAAGGCTTTTATAGTAGGGGTAGCAACCGGGACATGACGGGCTTAAAAGCGATGAGCCCATTCACGTCTTCTTCGCAATCTTCAGCACGTTCGCCAGGCACGTCACCAGAAGTCCCGCAAGCTCGAAAATCCGCATCTTGGGGTCCCATCACCTTCACTCATAGATGGGAGGCCAAATCGAGCACGGGAATTTTGTCACCGAAACCAAACATCATCGCGAAAGGGAGGGTACTTGGCTAGTCATACCCATGTGGGTATCATATGAATGGGCGGCCATGATCCATCCTTTCTTTCGTATACTCCTCATGTGAGGTGAGAAAGGCCGACGATAACCTCGATGGCGGAGCTTGCGTTGGGCCCTCTAAAATAAATGAGGGATTGCATCTCAGAGCATTCGCCATCTGCTCTTGGGATATATACAAGTAACATGACATTTGTGCATGAGTATGCCCCGGTTGTCTAGTGGGTATCCTCGCCGCCTACTAGGGACCAGATCATACGTTCGAGTCCTGGCGCTGTGAGTTTTTTCTCTCCACGAGAATCCTGGTCTACGGTGCAAGCGACGCGCTTCAAAGCTTGCTGTTATTAGTAAACTGATCGACTTCATTGTCGATATCGACTTAACCGTCGCGAGGGAAGGGATTGCTGCACCCTTTTTTCGCGATAAAAAATATCTCAGCGAGGCACCCAAGGAGGTAGGTGGGGACAAAAGAAAAAAAGGAGAAAATACCGTTGTGGCTACGCCCCGGACGATACATCTAGCTAGTTTTAGAGTGCCAAGTACGCTGAGAAGTGTAAGTGCACACGCGCCAGACGCGTAGTGTGCACCGAACAGGAGTAAGCAAGCGGCGCCAGAGATCGGATGAAAACAAAAACAATAACCTGTGCAGAAGGTGTTTTGTTTCCTTGAGAATAACAATTGCTGTTCTCTTTTGGTTTCAGGGAGCCCCAATGTCGCCCCGGTGGTCTAGTGGTTTCCTCGTAATCCGCTAGTCGCAGAGATCGTGAGTTCGGATCCCCATGAAGTGAAAATTTTACGAAATGTGCGGGTGAAGCGAAACATAGCTAAAAAAGCTCTCGTGAGTACCACACTTCGACGTTAGCACCGTTGACGAGGGAAAGGGACGGCTGGACCCTTCTCGCGATAAAAAAAAAATGCAGCACACACCGCAGGAGGAAGGTGGGGCATGAAAATAAAAAGAAGAAAAAAGCCCTGGTGTTTATACCCCTCCTGTGTAACCCTGGATGGTTGTAGTTGTACGAAAAAATACACTGAAAAGTGTAGTACTTCGAAGTGCTCTACATACGCTGAAAAGTGTGTACACGTCTCACCACGAAAGATGGGCGGACTGTCGCCATAATAAATAGGACAAAAACACACACACAATGTATGCACACATGAAGGCGTCCAGGGAACGAACGCATATCATGACCGGTTAAGGATGATGGTATTGTTCCTCGCCCGAACAGTGCAACTGCTTTCTGACACAGAAAAAGGCAGAACGGAGATAAAATCACAGTCGAAAGAAAGGGACGTGCTGGGTGCTGGCGTCTTTAAAGTGAGTGGAGGGAAACCGGCTGGAAACTGGGCTTATTTTGAGTTCGTTCAAGCCCACACACTGAAGATCTGAATATTTGTAGAAGTATCAGTGACGCAGTGATGCCAATTGGTGCCAAGAACAAAACACGGTTTTCTCGAACGGGTCTCCTGTGAGATTCATGATTCATGTACTTCCAAAGAAACCTCTCTTTCTTCCCCTCGTGCCTCGGCAAGGTTTTGCGTAGGCATGACCCATAGCGAGGGGGGGGGTCTTTCTAGCGAGCAGGGCTAGGCTCACCCTCAAGGGACCGATACCTTCTTGCTGCGGCGCACCCGCCGCCGCGAGGCGTGCGTGTAGTGGTGGAGTTGGATCGGCACTGGTGCGTCAGGTACCAAGGTGCACATGCGCGGGCCTCCAGGCGGTCGGTGTAGGAAGCAATGCCCATCTCATCCTTGTGCGCGGAGGCAGACGTCATCAGAAAGGTGGACGGGCACTATGTACACGGCCCTAGGTTTGCTAGAGGGAGCTGTACTGTCTCAGTAACCTGGTTTTGCCATCATAGGAGGACGGGGACAGGTGGTGACGAGCTGATTGGGCTGGTTGACCCTTCCGCGCGAAAAAATTTGGACCAAGAACCCTAGGTGCAACGAGGGAGAAAGCGAGGAACCGACTGGGATGGACAGCAACGAGAGCGTGTAAGAAGCGGAGCGGGTCGAGTTTGGTCGTGCTAGGACTGGCCACAGCCGCACCGGAGCAGCGGAACCGGAGCAGGCGGACGGCATCGAACCGTGGCGCACGGACAAACATCTCTTGTGTTGTCAATTATTTTTCCGTTTTTTTCCTGAATACAAGTGTTGGGTGTGTGTGATGACGTCACTGGTTTTGTAGAGACGCGGCAGAGATGGCGCGGATAATCCGGGTACTTTTAATTGTGTACCTGCATCGTCCAAGACCCCTTCAATGTGGAACGATTCCTAGTCAGTGTCCATGTTTACACTGCTGTGCCTAACACACATGATCTGGATAGATTCGGGTGATTGTCAATTGCAACGATGGCTTTGGTTGGGTGTTCTTCATTGTGTGTCCACGGACGCATTCTGACAGCACTTCAGACAGCAGCTGCATGCCCCGAGCTTGTGTACCATGCACCATGGTGTTATTATTGTACAGACAGCACTTCAGACAGCAGTACGCTGTAGTCGACAAACATTCATTTTGGTTAAATGCGGGACAAGGGGGGTGATGCTGCTGCTGTAGTCGATTTGTAGTGTGTGGGCGTGTAGTTCAGTTGTGAGCACGCAAACGTGCTGCAGGGATTGCAGGTGTACCTCCTCGGGCTTGCGTACCCTTTCCTTGCTAATAGTGTGTGTGTTCTTCAGATCCTCTGATGGCTCTAGCATTTTTGTGACCACGGACCGAGTCTTTGCTAGATGTTGGGNTCCGGGTACTTTTAATTGTGTACCTGCATCGTCCAAGACCCCTTCAATGTGGAACGATTCCTAGTCAGTGTCCATGTTTACACTGCTGTGCCTAACACACATGATCTGGATAGATTCGGGTGATTGTCAATTGCAACGATGGCTTTGGTTGGGTGTTCTTCATTGTGTGTCCACGGACGCATTCTGACAGCACTTCAGACAGCAGCTGCATGCCCCGAGCTTGTGCACCATGCACCATGGTGTTATTATTGTACAGACAGCACTTCAGACAGCATGGTGGCTCTAGCATTTTTGTGACCACGGACCGAGTCTTTGCTAGATGTTGGGATTAGCAACTGACACGAGTTTAATGTGAATAAAAACAACAACACAACAACAACAACAACAACAACAACAACAAAGGAAAGCGACGCAGAACAAACTGCGGCGGGATCTAGGTGTCCATGTGTATCGTCTTGGCGTCCTACAGATGTGGAGGAATCTACCGTGTTCCGATTTAGGCAGTTTACTTTTTTCTGTGGTACAGTCAGCGGTCCTCAATAATAGCGGCAGTAGCCCGATTTTTCAGCGCAGTGCCGCTATTCCTAACGGCGTTTGTACTCTGAGAGATAGATGGATTTGTGCCAGGTGATTTCGGTGCCAATATCCACGGCATCCCGCTATGTATTCGCGTACTGCTGTACATGTACCGCTAGAGATGACCGCCGACTATTTGTATCTTCATCTTTCTTCCCCTTCGCCGAGCTCTCTCTTTCGGGGAGTGTGTTGGTCAACACGTCAACACCAACCTCCAAACAGCTGGTTGGAATCGAAAACTGCATGAACGCTGAAAGGCAAGTTAGTTTGTGGGTTCCGTGCTCTTTGCCCCCGCATGTCCCCTGTGTATGTATGTGCCTGAGGAATGTATTTGGATAAATTTACATTCGAGGATTCGCGACAAACAGCCTCCTCGCTCGGCGATTCCTATGCGTGCCTTCGCCCCACACGGGGCAAGCGCAGCTGCCACTGCTTTATTTGTATCACAATCGTGGGCACTGACCGAGAGAAAACATGCGAGAGAGAATAAGAAGCCCTGCTCCCGCGACCTTCCGCTCTATCACGGACGCAGCTTTTTACTTGAGTACTCCAGAGCACCATACTGGCATGCATGCAAGCAGCCCCTCGCGCCCGTAAACGTATACACACTGGGATTGGACTCGGGAGAGAGGGGGTCGATTGCGAGTCACGTATCCATCTAGTAGCTTTAAGCACCGATAGAATTACTCACCCGGGGAGCAGTGAGCTAGCTGTCTACGTGTATGAAGCTATTTATGGTAGCGTGCTGGCGTGTGGCCTCTCGGCAACCGCCGAATCCATCTCGCATGTACTGTACTGCTGTGCACAAGAAAACGAACGACAACAGACAAAAACGCGGGTAGCAAAAGCTGTTCACCGACGGGGCCCGATGTAACACAGAACGTTCGAATGTAAGCACGCACTCTCTCTCTCGCGTCAATCGTCCGCGCGGCAAGCGCCAGCCTGGCTACTTCCGGGTGTTGTCGTGGATGGGGAAGGGAACAAGACAGGTGCCAGGCCAGCGAACTCCGGGCGGCGGGATGGGAACGACCACGAGTGGTTTTTCTTTTCTCTCTCGCAGCTGCCTCTCTTTTGGTCGACGAGGCGGACATTCTTACACACCCGGCTTCATCAACTTTTCGGAAAAAAAAGGACAGAGAGCCTCCATATGCTTGAGGACATGGATGTCTCAGGCGGTTGTCATGAGCGCGCTTAGACCCCCAATTACAACAACGAGAGCATCAAGAACAAGGGAGGCGGGATATCGGTGCCTGTGGCGAGTGTCGTGTGTGAAGGGCGGAAGAAGACACTGAAGCAGGAAGCTGGCTGCCACCTTGGGAATAGCCAAGAAAAGTTGTTCCAATTTTGTGACGACAGAGAGAGAGAGGGAGGATGGGCGTGAGAGGATACGTTTTCGGCAACGGTCATTTACCGTGTCCACAGGAAAAGCGAGCATGCACACAGAGCACAGCCGTCTCACGAAAGGAGCGGGCGGCCGAGGCGCAGAGAGAGGGGTCCTTGGCGATGAAATGAGCCCCTCAGCGCCTGTCCCCTAGGCTACGCGTGTATGTTGTATCGCACCGCGCCCGCAAGGTTCGATATGGTTGCAACGGAATATGTTCGCTTGACAAGCGACGCCGGCAGGCGGGTGTGCAAAAAAAGCTTCCGCTGGCCGCTGGCCGCGGAAAGATCGGTACAGGCCAACACCCCTCACCTGAACCGAGCTCTGGAGAACCTCCATGTTGTCTGCTGTCCTTGCCCGTCTCCCCTTTCAAGCCCTGTCTCTCTGTCTCACAACGTCAGAGCACGCGAGTGCCGTCTCTCCCAGAGATGATGATGACGCGAGCTACGGCCGTCCAACAGGCGGTAGATGCGTTTCGGGGTGATGGGAGAGGCAAATTGAGGACGGGAGTCCAACTGTGGGGGGAGGCGCACGGGCAAGGGGTTGGGCTTCCAGAGTCAAACGAGAGGGCAAGCCAGACAAGAGCGCTTCTCGCCGAGGGGCTCCGCGGTGCCTCGGGTCTTCAGCCCGACCCCCTGATCGAATCTTCTATCCAAATCATGTGTGAAATTTCTCAAAATTATCTGCCACAAAAATCCAGCGGGCACACCACGGCAGCATAACGCACACAGAGCACTTGATATATTGCACATGTTGGGAACCACTCTCAGCGTATCGTTGGTGTTTCCTCGGTGACTCTCACTCTGTCTCTCCTGTTGCAGCACAATAAAACCAGGAGGCTGGTGCGAAGTACTATTGGAATCAGCCGCTGGTCATCAGTCAGTTCGCTGGTTGAAGCGTTGAAACCGCCCGTGTGGTGGAGGATAGGAAATCCTAGAAGTAATAGTCTACCCTGGGTAGATGAATAAATCTGAAATAACAGATCCCAATCCTAGTCCTTGAAGCGTCGTTACATAGTGGCATCGATAATGTTGCAACAATGGCAGATTTGTCACGTTGTGTACAATGTGTTCTTCGTTATTGGCAAGGATTGGTGGTATAGGTAACTACTTGTTCGCTATACTACAGACCACAGACTAGTATGTTCCCGCCGGGGGATATCCTTGTTAGACCAGGCCTGTACACAAAGCTTACGTGGTGGATCGATCTACTTACTCATGCATCATCTCAGATAAATACTGTAGGTTGATGTGTCACCGATGTATGCGAAGTCTACGTGTGATTGTGGCGTTGTGGCTCGCAGAAGTCATGACTTTAATCGTTCTGACCTCCATGCAGGAATTTGGCAGCTAGACTAAATAAAGCTGTAGAACTTCATGTCCATCAACGTTGTATCCACAGTCCACATGTCGAACATCACATGTGAGCACCACCATTTGTGGCCCACAAGATGAACTAAGAACAAGAGGCGCCATGTATCTGTGTGCTTCAAGCCTTCAAGATAGGGTACGGGATAAAGATAGATGAAGACGCATCCTCCGTTATATTATTGCTGTTGTGTGACCCCTGTTGTGAGGTGCGTGATATGATAGATGGTATGTAAAAGTCCTGAACAAACAACAAACAACAACCACACAGAGCAGCTCAACACACTTCCGCCGACGTTGCTGAAAGAAGGGCGATTCCACCGCAAGTCGAGCCTGGGTAACACGACGACCATAATGGACAGCCTCCGACATGGTATAAATGAAGCCGAGAAACCGTTTCTCTTCGAAAGAACACTAGCAAACAATGGCCACAACCACAACAAGCAGCAAGCACAGAACCTGCGACAGCAGTTTCGAAGTCGACAAGTAATGAAGACGAGCGAAAAACAAACAATTCTCAATTGTTGTTCATTCCTTGAGCGTCAGAAAAGCACTACGTACATACACCAACATTTCGGCGTTGTGCGATGGGTTTCTTCGTACCGGGCGAGCATTCCCTGGAAACCCTTCAGACCACGTAGGAAACCTACTAGACAACGCGTTGAAAAGTTCGCAGGTTCTTCTTGATTGATTGCGACCGCCCATCACACAGCAAGCCACACCTCTCATCGCCCCACCAACCCTCAACCCCCACACATCGAAAGTTTACAGAGCAGTACATACAAGGGCGTGCACATGTTTCCAGCAACACGGAAAATGGGCCACTCGCCTCACAGACAAAAAATCGTTGACGTCGCTTGTCATCCCTATGTATGCATCATGTGTGCCGCGCGGTCTTCGCCTCTCCCATATACCGACGAGCCCCGATGTCGGGGTGGAAGAGAAGAATCCCTAGGTACCCTTATGTAGACCAAAGCATACGTGAACATGGAGAAAAACACACAGCCAAACGAAACACATGAGACGACAGGCAACCTACTAGTAGACACCTTCGGAAGGCAGGCCGGGGTGGACAGCGATCTGCGGTATTCTACGATAACTACATAATGGTTGGTACGAGTCTCTTGCTGGAGAAATGTACGAACCGCCGCCTGCGTCTAAGGGTTGCAGAGAAAAACGTCCATCGCAGTCGCCGGTAGGTCAAAAACTCAAAAACTCCTGCACAGAACCATCCAGGATTCGCCTACTATCGGACTGAACGAGAGGGGTCGTTCATTCAAAGTTTGCGCTGACGAGGTGAAGCCTCGGGATATTCCCTGAGAGCAATATACTGTACAACATAGATACGGACTCAGGCTGGAAAATTCAGCTAGCATCTGCAACCAAATCCCGGGGGATACATGCGGCCTCTGCTTGCCGCGCTAAACTACGAGGTTCTGCCTGCGCCAGCCATGGCCTCTTGAAGGGCAAAAGCTGCCCGCTGCTCCGCAGCAGCAGCCGCTGCCGCAGCCATCTCGTGCTGTTGACGCAGGCGGGAGCTGTGCAGGCGGTTGAGGCGCCAGTAGGTCTTGATCACGTGGGCCGTCACCTTTTATTTCGATGCACAAAGAGACAAAAGAGACAATCAGAGATGGCAGGCACAGATTACATACTACATTCGTTTGAACTGAGGTAACGGTCTGGCCAAAAAATTGGAGGGAGGCATCTGGCCAATTAGTGAACAGCAGAGTTGCTCTCAAGTCAACGTTACAGTGCTTGAGGAGCGCATCTATCTAGACCAATATTGATTAGACTCAATATCCATGAGGGCGTGCTGGGGTCGTTCGTCATCAGGCAATCAGGTTTCAAATACATCCCATGATAGTCACGCGAAATCATTCCGGGGGCACTTGGCTATCTATCGAATAGATCGAACCCAACCCGGTACGTTGTCCTAGCCGGAGGAGTTCCCGATCTTTAAGCCCACGAGGCAACCATTTCGATCAAGCCGTTTGGTTTCCAACTACGTCGGAACACACACAAAAAAAAAGAAGCGCCGTGGCTTTGTGGTGTGTGGCGGCGAGGATAGACTTTGCCCCGGGCAAAACATTAGCAGCAATCGAATTTCTCAAAACTGCCGGTTAGATTTCCTTGCCGCCGGGGTTGGGGGTTAGGGAGGGTCGTTGGTTCGTAAGCCACGCGAGCTACCATCGAGGCTAAATACTGTAGCTGCGCACCCGCAAGATGACGATAGACCAAGCCACGCTCGCGAAGCCCTTCCGCGCTCGTTGGAACGGCGTCATGCCCCTGGGGAACACCCAAGCCTTGACCTGGAGCTCGTCCCACGGTTTAGACGATGCCCACTTGAACAGCGGCTTGGTGCCCTGTTTCAGGGAACGCGGGAGAGAGGGGCATTAGGCGGGGACCATTTCCTTTATGGAGCACCGGGGGCAGCAGCGTGCATGCCTGCTATTTATAGCGAGGCATACATGCGCATGTGCACAATCAGCCTACTATGTCTCCTCTTGACAATAGCACCCGATGCGTGCCATGGATACAACTCTTGACGAGAAGAACAGGAGCTCGAACCCCGGCACGTACGCATGCTGGCGCAAAGAAAGATCGAGCAGCTGTGTGCGCCAACCAACATTGAGCACAAGTAGAACGGAAAAAACCGCACCGGCTGCACAAACGAAAGCCGAAACTGTTGCCCTATCAGACCAAAGACGACCCAACTGCGGCTGGCAGACAGAAGGGGGGTAAACACATGAAAGACACGAGCAAGCATGCATGCACTATATAGTGCTTGCTTACCCTGAAAACCGCGTAAGCGTTGAGCGCCACCGGGACAAAGAACAGCTGCAGCCTATTCATCCTGTCCCCCAAGATGTCGCGACGAGCCAGGTTCATGGCCATGATAGACCCGCACAGCTCGAACAAAGGAAAGAACCCCCTGATGGAAAAACGAGCAGGGGCATGACATGCGAGCGATGTTGCAAACTAATTCGATAGAGAAAAAAACACGACAAACGTTTAGTTACGCTAACTCTACAACACTCTTCAATACACAACTGCTAAGAACCGCCGGATCGTTTGGAAAAAGACCAAAAGGTGCACCATCTACTGCATCATGGGGATTACACGCTGCCAATCCTTTGTTGGGGACAAGAATTCAAAACCACGTCAAGATTCTCTCACCGCCGCTCTTCCTCTCTAAAAAATCCTCTAGGGTGCTTGGTCCCTACTGAAGCGTGAACAATAGCTTTCAAGCAACAACCCAAGACTTCGTACTTTCCAAACGATAAGTCAGGGTCCACCATGTCTCTCCCGAGGAACCCCTCCCCCTTCATGTGCTAGCCTGGTCCGGTGAAAACCCGGCGTGCTCCGTCCCAGTTTTGTACGGATGCAAGATCAACGGCCTAATGACTACGGCATGCACGTCAATGAGTACCCCCCCCCGTCCCCCGTCCCCCCGATCTAGACTTGAGTGGGTTGGCGCTGTTGGCAAAGCGCTGTAGAACACGCCACCCCAAATATAGCCCCCATAGTATGCGCTACCAAAGACGCGTGACGCATGGATGCGTGGAGTGAGGATTGCTTACG